GAAAGAGGTTTTTTTTTTTTTTTCTATTCTCAATTGCTACATAAAAACAAACTCAAACCAAGCATGGTAGCAGACACCTGTAATCCTAGCTATTCTAGAGGCTGAGACAGGAGTTCAAATTTCGAGTTCAAGGCTAGCCTGGGCAACTTAGCAAGAACCTGTTTAAGACAAAATTAAAAGGGCTGGGGATGTTTCTTGTTGGTAGAATACTCCTGAGTTCAATCCCCAGTACCACCAGAAAAAAAAAAATCACGTTCTAAAACAGACACTATTTTACGATTACCCTTCATGATTTTGTGGGTCAGGAATCTCCAAAGGGCACATTGAGAAAGACCTCTCTGTGCTCACAAATCCAGAGCCATAGCTTGCGTGACTGAAGTGGCTAGAAGACCTAACCATTGAGGAGTGACCGCCAGTCTCCACATCTCCAAGTGGTCTCTGGGCCTCTCTCCACTTGCTCCCTCCAGCATGAAGACCTCAAGGTATTTGGACTTAAATGGCTCAGAGTTCAAAGAGATCCCAGAGGCTTCTATTGACATTGACAGGAGGTCACTTGTGCTCATTGTCAAGTAAGTCACTAAGGTGGCCCAGATTCAAGGGAGGGAAATTCACTTCACCTCTCAATGAGAAGAGCAGCCAAGAACTTACAGTTCTTTTAATCTGCACAGATCCCATACTTTGTAATCATTAAAGGGAACAAAGATGCAAGAAGATGTGCAAAGCTCTGAGCTCCATCCCCAGAACTATGGAGGAGGAGGAGGAGGAAAGTATGATGTGGGTTCTGCTTCTACTAATCTGCAAATTAACTAGGGACATGAGGAAATTTGCAGAAGTAATGGAAATGTGAGCTTGATGTGGTGAGGGTGTTACAAGGGTACACATATTCCAAAACTTGATCCAAGTGTACACTTTAAATATGGATAAAGTCCATTATACACATGTACAGTGTACTTCGATTACATCTCAATAAAACTGAAAGGGAGGGGAGAATGAAGATCTGTAAATACTGACATGGAAGAAAGTTCACTATATATTGTGGAATGAAGAAAGGGCTTGAACAATGTGAATGTAATCTCATTTTTGGTTCAAAACATACACTTCCACACACACACACACACAAAAAAAAAAAGTCTAAAAAGATTCACAGCAAATTTTTTGAGTACTTTTCCTCTAGGAGAGAATTGGTAGAGCAAGTAGAAGAAAGTGGGACAATGTCATTATTTTGAGATTGTGTATTGGAAAAGGATTATTATTATGGGATGGGGCTGGGGCCGGGGCTCAGTGGTAGAATACTTGCCTAGCCTGCTTAAGGCCCTGGGTTCGAACCCCAGCACCACATTAAAAAAAAAAAAAGAAAATAAAGGTATTGTGTCCATATATAATTAAAAATATTAAATAGAAAAAAAAAAAGAATTGTATTTATAAAAAAAGAATACTGGATTGGAAACGGGCAATGTGAATTTTATTTCCAGTTCTCCCACTAACTTGTAAATTTATTTCCTAAAACAAAACGTACTTGTTTATAGCAACATCGAAACTAATACAATATACCCTCTGTTCACTGAGTCCCTGCTGGCTGAGACCTAGGCAGCAAGCCACCGTCTGAAAAGCCAGAGGGCACAAACAGTCACCTACAGTAGGGGAGCCCTCTGCTGCTCCAGCCCAAGTAGAGCCGGTTAGGAAATATGGGCCTAACATCAGCCACCGAACTTGTGTTATGGGGGAATATTTTAACCCACAATGTCCTACATAATGTGTACTACTATTGTTGTCAGACCTGTCATAAAGACAGGTTAGAGATGGTTAGAGAATTTTTTTTTAATTCTGACATTAAACATCAGCATCCATTATAGGAAAAAAAGATATACATTTCTGGTGGGACTGCAAATTGGTGGAATCACACTGGACAGCATTATGGAGATTCCTCTGAACACGTGGAATGCAACCACCATTTGACACAGTTGGCATATACCTTGGCATATACCCACTCCTTGGCATATACCCAAAGGACTTGAAATCAACATACTACAGTGACATGGCCACTTCAATGTTTATAGCAACTCAATTCACAGCTAAGCTATGGAATCAACTTAGGTGCCCCTCAACAGATGAATGGATAATGAAAATGTGGTGTATATACATAGTGGAATAGTACTCAGCCATAAAGAAGAATGAAATTATGGCATTTGCCTGTGAGTGGATGGAGTTGGAGACTATCATGCTAAGTGAAACAAGCCAGTCCCAAAAAAACCAAAGGCCAAACATTCTCTCTGATATGTGGATGCTAACACACAATAAGGAGATGGGGTTGGAGAATAGAAGTTCATTGTATTAGACAAAGGGGAATGAAGGGAAGGGAAGGATGGGAATAGGAAAGACAGTAGAATGAACCAGACATAACTTTCATATATGAATATATGAATATATGACCAGTGTAACTCCATATCATGTACAACCACAAGAATGGGAAGTTATACTCTATGTATGTATGATATGTCAAAGTACATTCTACTGTCATGTATAACTAAAAAGAACAAATAAAAATTAAAAAAACAACAACAGCATCCATACCTGTAATTCTTGCTACTGGGAAGGTTGAAGCAAGAGGATCACAAGTTTCAGGCCAACCTGAATAACTTATCGAGACTCTTGTCTTAAAATTAATTTTTTTCTTTTTTTAAATTTATTCATTTTTATTTATATGACAGTGGAATGCATCACAATTCTTATTACTCATACAGAGCACAATTTTCATATCTCTGGTTGTATACAAAGTATATTCACACCAATTTGTGTCTTCATACATGTGCTTTGGATGATAATGTCCATTACGTTCCACCATCATTTCTAACTCCATGCCCCCTCCCTTCCCCTCCAACCCCTCTGCCCTATCTAGAGTTCCTCTATTCCTCCCATGCTCCCTCTCTCTATCCCACTATGAATCAGCCTCCTTATATCAGAGAAAACATTTGGCATTTGGTTTTTTGGGATTGGCTAACTTCACTTAGCATTATCTTCTCCAACTCCATCCATTTACCTGCAAATGCCATGATTTATTCTTTTATTGCTGAGTAATATTCCATTATGTATATATATCACATTTTCTTTATCCATTCATCTGCTGAAGGGCATCTAGGTTGGCTCCACCGTTTAGCTATTGTGAATTGTGCTGCTGTAAACATTGATGTGGCTGTGTCCCTGTAGTATGCTGGTTTTAAGTCCTTTGGGTATTGACCGAGGAGAGGGATAGCTGGGTCAAATGGTGGTTCCATTCCCAATTTTTAAAAAGGGCTGGGGATAAAGCTCAGGGGTAGGGTGTTCCTAGGATTCACCCCACCTACTGGGGATTGGATGCTGATGGACATTGTGGTTTCCACAGCCTGGGACTGAGCTGAACTGCATGAACACTGAGGGAAGAAAGCAAGGCTGGACTTGAGGGAGTTGAGCAGGGGCTGGGAATCCAGGCCAAAGGTTCTGGGCTGGTACCAATTGCCCATGCGGTACCCTCAGCTTGCAGCCCCAATGCAAAGGAGCAAAAAGTTATGCCCATAAACACGCGAAACTCGTGCATATTCACTAGTGGTCAATCTAAGATAACTGGAGGACTGAAATCGACCCAACGACCCATCGCACTAAAAGCAGGTCCCTCCTCCTCCTGAGAGGTCCCACCTCCTCCCGGGAGGTGAGGTGGCAATCTTCCCTGACGCCTGCGCGTTGGATCCTGCTCCTGGCCTTCTGCTGAACAGCCTGCCCCGTGAATTTTTTTGTTGAGTGAAAACAAAACAAGAAGACAAAACAAGCCTTTTCCCAAGCTAAGAAACGCTCATTATTTTGTGTAGACTAGCAGGCAGATGCCCAGAATAATCTGAGCATCCTTACATCGTGCTTTTAAATTTTCATTTGCAAATGTCACCACACGTGGGGAAAAATTTTTTTAGTTTCTTTTTTTATTGTTTTAGTTCCTTTATGTAATGTGAGATCCTTAAAAAAACAAAAACAAAAACAAAAACACTGTGGGTGGAGCCTAGGGACGTGGAGGTTCCTGGCTGGCCTTCCCCCGCCTCTCCCAAGCCTCAACTCTGAGCTCTTACAGGTTGTCACTCAGCGCCCAGAGATGGTGGCAGGTGAGGACGCTCATGGGTGGCGGCCACCGATCCGGATGGGAGCTGTGACTGGGGCCCAGTGCGACCCTGTCCAGCTGCAGGAGAGGAGCGCAGGGCCTGGGTAGCAGGCCACTCGCAAGGCCTCTGCTGCCCCTGCCGCTTAAGACAGCCTCCGCCCAGCCCCAGCCCAGCTCCTGAAAGGACAGCACCAAAGGGCAGTCAGCACTGTCCCAGGGGCCCTTTCGAGCCACACCTTTGGACTTGTGAGGCACCTGGGAGTCTGTAAAAGTCCCAGAACTCACCACCAAGAGTGCTCCCTGGCCCCCCTCCATGTGCTGACGTGGGCAACTTGAATCTTTGGGCCTTGGGAGCCTGATGTCAAATGTGCACGAAATACAAGGAAGGACCTGCCTGAGGATGCGGTAAGAATAAAACAAGGTGAAGTGAGTGAGCCTTCGACCCTAGATCTCAGCTACTGAAGAAGAGAGAAGGAGAGGGAAAGAAGGGGAAAGGAGGAGAAGGTTGGGAGAGGGAGGCAGCAGGAAGGAAAGAGGCAAGAAGGAGAGACCTTCAGGTTGTCTGGAATCTAACCCCACTGGAATTCTCCAGGCGTCTTCCAAAGCTCCTAGGAGCTGGTCCCCACGATGCTACTGGCTGCCTGTGGGCATCTTCCCAGGTGCACTCAGCAATCTCCAAAGACAACATCCCCAACTGCTTTCCCCCCATTTCCCATGTTGTACCCCACAGGCATTCATCCCCAGTAGCAGCAGGGGTCTGTGGTCATTGTGGTTTGCCAGGGGCCTGTGTTCTGGACACCAGGCAGCCGACCCCTCCAGCAACAGTAGGGAAACCTCTTCCTGCTCCCCTCTGGAGGGTCAGGGCACCTACAAGCACCTTCCTAGCTTCTCAAGAGTCATCAGGCAAAAGCGACTTCAGGCTTTATTTTCAGAGTATAAAAGGCACCAGCCAGTGCCTGGCACGTTCCCAGTTGACGGTTCTGATCTTTTATGGATGGTACTTGGGGAGCTGGGGTTGTAGCTCAGTGGTGGAGCACCTGCCTAGCACCCGTGAGACACTGGGTTTCATCTCGGCACTGAGGAGGGCTGCCAGGCAAGTCTCTGAAGCACCCCTGTAAGGATGGATCCCTCCTCTGTCCTTTTTCCTTTCTGCCCTCTTCTGACTTGGAATATCCCTGCCCCCTGTCCCTGAGGCATTTTTCCATGTCCGGGGCCTATTCTAAGACATTACTAAGGACAGTCATGGCTCCAGAATGTGGACTTTCAGACATTTTTTAATTTGTAGTTTTTAAATATACATGACAGTAGAGCATATTTTGACATATTATACATACATGGAGTGCAACCCATTCCAATTAGAATCCCGTTCTTGTGGTTGTACCTGATGTGGAATTGTGCTGGTCATGTATTCATATATGAGCATCAGAAAGTTATGTCCAGTTCATTCTACTGTCTTTCCTATTCCATCCTCTGCCCCTTACCTTCATTTCCCTTTGTCTAATCCAATGAACTCCTATTCTTCCCCTCCCACCCTCCCTTTTGTGGGTTAGCATTCACATATCAGAACACTCAGTTTTTGTTTTCTTGGTGGGGGGGACTGGCTTATTTCAGTTAACGTAATATTGTCCAGTTTCCCCCCATTTACCAGCAAATGCCATAATTTCATACTTCATGGCTGAGTAATATTTCATTGTGTGTATATACCATATTTCCTTTATTCAAATTTCAGACATTTGTAGCAGATAGTAGGGAAGTTTCACCACTGTATGTGCCTTCAGAGGACTAGTAATAGGATATGGTGCAATATTCTCAAACAAGAGCCTGTAGACAACTTTCTAAAATGTGTAATATACTCTTAAAATTATAATCATGCATATTCTGGATCATTAACATGACTTTTTTATAGGTGAGGATTACTTCATGACTTCAGCTTTCACCCGCCTATCTGTGCACACAGATTATTTTCATTAAGCTACTAAAAAAGAGCAGGGTTGTTTTAATAAGTACAGGGTATGTACAAGTCAGTAAAAGGCAAAATGATGATCTACTTTGAGTGAAGCTTCCAGGTAATTCATGTGACTGGGGTGCTGAGCATGTTGCTGGAGTAACCTAAGCAGAATGAACCCTAAAGCAGCTGTGTGGCCGCATCCACACTGTCTTCATGGTGCCAGCAGTGATCTAATTTCCAGCAAAACAATACCTGCTACCTCAGTAATGGGGCTAGTTTGAATTTTTTTGGCTGCACATTGTTGTATATTATGCTTCTGTTGGCATAGAACTTGTAATTCTATTACGGTATAAATATGCAAAGCTTATGCCAAGTTTTATTATTGCTCATACTTAGGCATCATAATACAATTATGTACCTCAACGTTGGAGATCTGCAGTTTTTTCTAAAGGGCATTACACATCACTTGGAGAAACTTCACTGTAGTACAAAGAACATCTGCCACCGCCGGGATATCTAAGTTCCAGTCGTGGTCTTGACATTGACCTGTAGGAGTCTGAGTTGATCATCTCTCCTCCATAGGTCTCAATTTGCTCATCTGTAGAATAAGGAGGTTGGATATCATGATCTTTAAGTTCTCTTCCAGCTCGAAATACTACTTCAAAAAGTACCTTATTTTACTAATTTTTTTAAATAGCATTTTTTAAAACATTTATTTTTTAGAAGTAGTCGGACATAATACCTTTATTTTATTTACTTCTTTTTATGTGGTGCTGGACACTCTGAAGGACCCTGGTACCCAAGGAGCGCTGCCAGAATAGCTTACATTATTGCTTCCAAAGTGCCTCTCACTCTGCCCCTCACTTAAGTTCAGGGGGAGGTGGTGGCTGTTATTATCATTTCCATCTAATGAATGGAAAAAACCAACCCCCAGGAGTGTTTGCAACTTGCTCAGGATGACCATTGGAAAAGGCAGACCTGTCGTTAGAACCAAGATGCTGGACAAGACTTTTTCCTTCCCCCTTGTCACCATTATGGATGCATGTGGACCATGTGACATGGACATTTGACCTTATTAGAACCTGTTTGTTATGGGGCATGAGGCCTGAGGGTCAGCATTGCAGGCTCCCAGAAATGCCTGTGAGCCCCCGCTTGTGCTGTAAAGCACTAATCACGGCACCAACAGGGAGGAACATTATGGCACGCCGGCCTCTACATCACGCCCCATTTTATTTCATTGCTTGTAAAGCAGTGAAATCACAAAATGGAATAAAAAGAAATTATCCTTATACATAGCTGTGTGTTTGCAATGGCTTCCTGGATTTTAAAGCATATTCATTTGAAATTGATGAGTTTCTTTATGTACAATTCTCCCGACTACTATTAGAAGCATTTCTCTTGGTGTTGCTCTTTATGGCTTCATCAAGTGTTTGAAGTTCCATTTCCCTTTTCAGATTGTTTCCTTGCTTTATCAAGTTCTCATTCACACATCAGTGGGCTGTGTACATCATCTTAAACCTGGATCAAAACCATGAATCAAAATTTAGCATCAAGGCATATTTTAAAGAAAGACATAATTGACTCCCAAGAATTTCAACCTCAAAAAGCTCTGAGCTGTACCTTTGCTAGTAATAAAATGAAAACAAATGCAATAAAAATCACATACTGCTGATAAGAATAAACACTGGTAAAACATTTTGAAATGTCTATCAGTAGCTTTAAAATGCTCACTTTAAAAAAATTTCCTCTTCTGGGTATTTTTCATAAATTGATAATTTCAAACATATTTTTAAAAAGCTTTATGTACATCCCAGCTACTTGGGAGGCTGAAGAAAGGATCAAAACTTTGAGGCCAGCCTGGACAACTGGGCAGGATCCTGTCTCAAAATAAAATTTTAAAAAAGGACTGAAGCTGAGGTCGGTGGTAGAGTGCTTGCCTAGCTTTTATGAGGTCACAGGCTTCAATCCCCAGAACAAACAAACAAACAAATAACAAATAAAAAGCTTTATGTACAAAGATGTTCAATACTTGGAACCATGGTAAATTTGATCATTTATTGAAATAGTACTGAGACTGGCAGCAGTGGTACATCCCAGTGACTCAGGAGGCTGAGACAGTATGAGCTCAAGTTTGAGGCCAGTCTTGAAAACCTAGTGAGACTCTGTTTCAAAATACAAAATAAAAACAGCTGTGGGTGCAGCTCAGTGGTAGACTGTCCCTGAGTTCAATCCCTGGTCCTGCAAAAGTCATACATACATACATATATAGTAACTGAGATTTATTGGTTTGGTGGCATATTAGAAGTCATTTAAATTATGTTTACATTTTACTTGTATTGTTAGAGTTTTTTGCATTTTACATGTGCATGCATATTTATAATGATGTGCATATATCATCACATCCCTATGTACATTGGTAGCATGTGTTCATGCATGAATGTATACACACGTTGTATAGCATCTCATAACATTATCAATTTCCCATTCATTCATTCACTATTCCATTTACTTAACATTTATGTTGTGCCTACTGTGTGCCAGGTTGCATGCTCACCTGTGTATTCAATACTCAGGGGCACACAGAAGATGGCTTGGCAGAGAGTGACAAGTCCAGTTTTGACATAAAGTATGCCAAGGGACTGTTTATCCACTCACACGTATCTGTATCTCCTTGTCCATCCTAAGGAGCTAGACCAAGTATCTTCCCCTGCCTGAGGGAAGAATCAACAAACAACCATGTCAAATTGACCACTTTTGAGCTTCAAAATCAGTCGCACATAAAACAAGACATTGGAAAAACATAGCATCCGTTTTTGTCCTACCTCAGGAAAAGAAGTTGTTTAGAGAAGAACGGGAGTCAACAGAAGGGATCAGGACAGTTTCTTGCTGCAAGTGCTTTTGAGAAGAGGTCTTCCTCTCTGGGTGATGGGGACGAGGGTTGTTCACGAAAATTTTAAGACTGGAGACAATATAGCTCTTCCTAAATATAATGGTAGAGAACAGAAAAATCCTAAGGTATCCCTAACTCCTAGTGTAGAGTGTGAGTGGTGGGGTACACATGCCTGAGAAATTCTGGAGGCAGCTTCACAGAGACCCTCCACAGAGACTCCAGAAGGATACAGGCAACAACCAGATCTGCTCTATTTCCAAGGATGGTAAAAGAGACTATGAAGTCATACTTGGGCCCAGAGAGGCCTAGGGTCCAGCAGTTTGGATGCAGCTACAAATGGCTAGGTGTCCCTTTATTCTCAAATTTAATATCTTTTTCAGGGAGGTCTTCTCTGCACCTTGGGTGAGGCTCCGCCTTCATCATATACTCCTCTGGAAACCTAGACTTACTCCTCTCATAGAATAGTTTCTTTTTTTTTTTTTCCTTTTCAAAACCATTTCCTACATTTTGAAGGATAATCCAAGAAATGCGTGGATTTACGAAGAACTTACCATGAACCCAGTTTGTCCTCCCGTTCTCTGGGTGGTTGGAGCCCCTGTAGGCTGTGCTTCTGGGTTGATCTCCTGAGCTCTGGCAGGAACAAGACCTGTTTATGGGAATTAGAGGGGCTGTCCTGTAGTCAGATGTTGGAAGCCATGTATGAACTGTAGGTTTGTTTGAGCCACCATAAAGCAGGGAAGCTGCTGCTTTTTGGGGGAACTCCCGGGTGAAATGCCTCAGTTCAAGAAAGCCCAGATCATGCCAAAGCCCTACCTTAGCTCACAGCCCTAGGTTCAAACGCAGCTGCTAAGAGATGGGCGTCACCTGCCAAGTCCCAAACATCTTGTTTTCCCCATTCTTATTCTGTTTTCCTGAAGAAGCTCCTCACTGAATCCCTTTGATGTCTTTCACTATAAATAAAGAATTCAAGGGCTTTTATCTTTGTTAGGATCAGACTCATCAGGTCTCTTCCACCAGTCAAGCCCTGGCTTTGAATATGCGCTTCACATCTTTTGTGTTTATTTCTTAATACTGCTTGTCTCGTTTTTTATTTCCAGCCGGCCCACACCTACTCCCTCCCCACACACAGTGTAGATGAGAATCAAGGGCCTTACAGGATTTGTGTCACCACCACCACCTGCTCAAAGCTGCCTCTCCTGTTGTGACTCCCCACCATGGATCACCACACCGCAAGTTGGATGTCATCAATAGCGTTGATGAGGGTGTCCCGAATCATCCCATTGCAGTAACTGAAGTTGGTCTGGTTGGGGATGAATTAGATAGTTGTTTATGCAGAGCACACAACATACTTTTCACATCTATTTCCTGATTTTACTGAGTGACCATTAAAAAAAAAAGTTTTTTTTTTTTGGGGGGGGAGTAACACATTAAGAATCCCCTGATAGACAGGGCTGCTTTTCCCAGAAAGATCTTAACGTCTGGCGCACACAGAGATAGGAAGGAAGGAAGAAAGAAAGAGAAGCAGGAGGAGAAATCCCAAGAATTAGTCCTTACTGCTTTAGGACTTAAACTGGAAATGACAGAATTAAACTGAACATGACTGACCAGGGCTGTCATGTCCCCTTTGCATTGGAGTTTGCCATGATCCCCTTCCCTCTTTGCCTGTTTGCTAGATGACTCGTGGGCAGCAGCTGATAAGATAAAGGAAGGGGTAGAAAAAAGGTCAGGTTCTCAAAAAGCACAGGCTATACCATCTCAGGACTCACCAGGCAGCTTCTGTGGAATTTTAAAATATCACAGTTTTCTAGCTAAGGATCTTCTTGCAGGAGAAAGGCTAATTCCTTAGGACACATAATGAACACAAATACAGAATTTATCTAGAGGCCAGTCCCTAAGCTTTACAGGAATAATATCTCAATCTATCTATCTATCTATCTATCTATCTATCTATCTATCTATCTATCT